ACAACAGTTCTTGTAGTAATAACTTAAAAATAAATAATCCTGGGATTAGATGTAATAAATAGCGTATTGCCGGTTCAACCAATTAGTTCTATTGTACGCGCTAAGGTAAGCTGAAGGGAAGTGGTTCAATTTAATCTTTATAGTTCAACTTCTTTTTAAATTGATTAAATCTGGTAATAAATTAACAGATGAACATTTTTAAAATAACTTGTTGACTGTGATCTATTTTCTAACCTTAAACAATTTGTTGCCAGCTTCCTTGAGAGCAGGAACTGAGTCTAATTTCTCATCTGCATCCATCTGCCAGGATTCCTATTCAAATTCATTAATTCATTTATTAATTAGATCATTCATTCATTCTTCCTTTAATTCATCCTTTCATTTATTCATTCATCCTTTCATTCATTCATTCATTCATCCTTTCATTCATTCATTCATTCATTCATTCATTCATTCATTCATCCTTCCATCTATTTATCCGTTTTCTCGTCTTTATAAAAACTCTAAAACTCTAAAAAAAGGGTCAAATTTCCAGAGAACTTCCATGTCAAGAGTGGAATATTTGATTCACAATGATAACCCAAAAAGCTTTGTCTGATCAAGTATGACCTGTATACACATGTTTCTATTTTTGAAAACTTATTATTTTCAATTTTGGGGTTTCTACACAAGTGATAAACGCATTTCTACTGCAGATATGGAGGAAATTTTGAGAATTGGAATTTTTTGAGCTAGAAATATTACGATATGATCCACAATATTGATCAGATAAAAATAATTAGGAATAAAAAAACAAAGATGACAGTGATTCACTCTACTTTGAGTTTTATCGTTATTTAAATTTGAATTTGTTTATTAAAATAAAAAATAAAACAATTTTCAGCAGATTACTACCTTTTCATATTCTGCTTCCACTGAAATCAATTCTATCACAAACTCTAAATCTTCCGGAGACTAAAATAATTTTGCATTTTTAAAAAGATTGTTTAAGGTGGGGGGGGGGGGGTGAACTTTGACACTTTGTGACTCCAAATTTTGTACAGGCTGCGTTTGGTCCAAAAAATTGAGATTGAAGGCTGAAATTTTGCATGCAGACTCTTATTTTGGTCGTCTACAAACTCTTTTAGGTTACTTAACAACAAAGACACTTAATCACCCTACAACGGGAAATATTAAGTGTGATAAATTCCCTCAAAATTGAATAAAACTAGATATGTTATTGTAATGGGTATCATGCGTGCGAAAAACTGTTAGCTGTTATTTTTACTTTTACTGGTTTGTTTTCTAGTTTGGTTTCTAGTTTGGTTTCTAGTTTGGTTTCTAGTTTGGTTTCTAGTTTGGTTTCTAGTTTGGTTTCTAATTTGGTTTCTAGTTTGGTTTCTAGTTTGTTTTCTAGTATGTTTTCTAGTTTGGTTTCTAGTTTGTTTTCTAGTTTGGTTTCTAGTTTGGTTTCTAGTTTGGTTTCTAGTTTGGTTTCTAGTTTGTTTTCTAGTTTGTTTTCTAGTTTGTTTTCTAGTTTGGTTTCTAGTTTGTTTTCTAGTTTGTTTTCGATCAAAATGAAAGTATTTTCACACCTCACTACGTTCTACTTAATAATTACTATATCTTATTATAGTTTAATTTATTTCAAAACTTTAACCTTCATTAGTTCATTTAAATCATCATATCCGAGCCCACCAGCTGCCATCGCCATACCACATACATGGGAGGACTAGAAATATAAAAACTTGCATGGCATGAATGACAATAATTATTACGAAACCAGTGCTCAGGATCCAGATCCGGATCCGTTGGATCCGGATCCAGGGGGCAAATTATCAACCAAAAACTGTAAAAAAAACACTTTTTGTTCTCTCAAAACCCAAATCTGAGTTAGTGAGAAAAAAAAGAGATTAAACAAATTTCCTGATTTCTGAATTCTGTTTTGTTAAAAAAAATCAATAAATCTTAAAGAAAGGACCTGGATCCGGATCCGGATTTGGATCCCGATCCATTTTTCCAGTGCGGATCCGCATCAAAAATAAATGGATCCTAAGCACTGTACGAAACCTTTCTCAAACTCATACTACACTAACTTAGCATAATAAAGAAATTTCAGGGTGAACAGAAAAAGAAGAATATTGCAAAAATGATTATCTGCATTAAATACAGGTATAAATTACTAGTTGTTAAATAATAAATTTGGGATTTTGAACAACTTCAAAATATAAAAATATTTTTAATGATTGTGTTTGACCTTATGACTGTGTTGGTGTCCAGGTTTCTTGGGTCCGAATGTATCCCGTAGGGTTTTAGCAACCAGGGGATAGGAGTGGGTGTATACTTTCTATACGGGGACAATTCTATTTCCAGATTAATCAATCAATCAAACTATCAAACTCAACCAGTTAACCAATCAATCAATCAATCAATCAAATATGTACTATTACTTGCTAGTTTGGAACTGGGTCGCTTTTACTTGAGAAAATTAAAATATTTTTGTATTTAATTTTTAGCTTTAAATTCATTTTAAAACTTGTTAGTGCAAACATTTCTTATATATTGGGGAGACAAGTTATCTCTTTTAAAGGGGGTAGGATGATTTAAACGGGGTGGGGGGATTTTGTTTCACTTTTTAAGTTTTAATAGTAGTTTTACAAATTAGAATTTATTCCTTGGTTTTGAAAGATGCCACTTCTCCGACTCTCATTGTTTTGATTGACATCTCCCAGCTCTCCAACTATTAACAAATTTAAGTTTTTTAAAGTTGTCTTTAAAAATTTCGATTGTTAAGAAATCTAGTAATTAATGAGAACAGGAAAAAATCTGTGAATTCTAAAATTTGAATGTGAAATAATGTACAAAAGAAAAATTTCCGCAGGTATAAGAAACAAAGAGGGGTCGCTAAGCTTCCTAAAAGCCTTGTTTATTTAAATTGTAAATATTTAGTCAGAATAGATTTTACTGGGTTACCTAGAAGTACCTTGGTATGTACAGCAATAACCAGAAAATAATAGAATAAGAAGACGACAATATAGCAAAACTTAAGTGTATTTGATGTTACAAAGCAAATAGTTTCACGCTTAATAGACTGTCTAAAGCTATAACTTGATTCTAAAAGTCGCTTTCTTGTTACAGAGTTTTCTGGTTATCACTATAGTTGGTAAATTACTCTACTCTTTACTCTACAGAGGTTTGGTCCATCACCATCACTGAATTTTAAAAGTTGGTAAATTACCTTGAATTTTTTCCCAAAAATTAGTTCCATTGGTTTCTCCCATTTTCTAGAATCATCTAGAATATGCTGGTTTTCATTCATTAACTTAGTGACAAAGTGGAACTTGACCTAAATACATTAATAAATCTTTCTTTAATCCAGATTTATTTCATTTTGCTGAACATTTCTTAAAGATTTACAAATTTAAAGAACAAAAGCATATTTTCGCCTCTTTTATGCTAAAGCTTGATAAACAATCCACAGATTAGGAAGTTAAAGATAAGTTAAAAGTTGAGATTTGTGTTTTGAAACCAAAAAGTTATTTTTAGAATGTTAAATTTGAAAGTTTTGCCCCATGGATTAGTGAATCTGCATAATTTGCGAATCCGGATACAGCCGCAGCGCTCTAACCTAACCTAACCTAACCCTAAATATACACTCAAATCAAATCAAATCATTCTTTTAGGGACGTCCTACACCCACACCCCAAAATTGAAGTGACTATACTAAATCAATAATGAAGTGAGGTCTTACGATTTGTAGTTTTTTTTTGCTAATTTCCACCTGGTTATTCAAAAGAGTCTACAAGAAATTTTAAGATATAAATCGACATTATTTATACTGTTAACAATAATAAAAAACGCGCGATAAAAATCGATGATTTAATCAAGAAAAAACTCGGCAAAACACAAAAAAAAACACTAAAAGCAAGCATTTGATTGCTAAAACTAAGATTTTAAGCCCCCCTCCCCCCTTCCACCTGAAACTATAAAGAATTACAGATGTTGTGGGACAAAATCTCGGTTATGGAATCTGAACCTACCTTCGTCCCATCAGTATACTCAGGTATATCTCCTCGTCCTGAGTGCAATATCTTCTTCTGTATTGGTAAATCAGGATCCGCCATATTTTCTGCAAAGAATATCACAGTGCTGATAACTAAATAAGGTCACAATGACAATATATCTTTAGAAATCCTTGTGAAATATTAACTCAACTGGTTTCCTGAGCTTGTTGTTTTAAATTATCAGGTAAGTGTTAAACATTTTATGGTGTCAAGGTGACTAACACGTTATTACTGCTTCATACCAAAATACTGTTTTGAATACTGTAGTCTGCATTCTGCATCCTATATTCTGTATTCTGTATCCTATATTCTGTATTCTGTATCCTATATCCTGTATCCTATGTCCTGTATCATGTATCCTATATCCTGTATCATGTATCATGTATCCTGTATCCTATTTTCTGTATCATGTATCCTATATCCTATATCCTGTATTCTAGATCCTATAGCTTGTATTCTGTATCCTATATCCTATATCCTGTATCCTATCGCCTGTATCATGTATCAAGTATCATATATCATGTATCAAAAATCATGTATTATATATCATGTATCCTGTATTCTGTATAAGTATTCTGTATCATGCATAATGTATTCTGTATTCTGTATCATGTACCGTAGATCATGTATCATGTATCATGTATCATGTAACAAGGAATGAGATAATTCTAATGAGCAACGATGTTCAGTTTGCGGAGACGAGTTTAGTGGGAGATATCCACAGTTTAGTGGAATTAGAGGGAAATTTCAAAATAATTCAGTTCATCCCTGGAACCATTCTTCCCCTGGGGGGGTCACTCTTCTTACTTCTACTCAAATAATCGGAGAATATAATAAACTTTTTGAGGCTTTATTTCAACCTTGGATCCGGAGCTACCGGAGATGAGAAAACGACCAAGCTTATACTGCTTGATTCACTTCTAAAAGTGACCTCTAAATAGAGGGATGGCACACTATAGGAGCGCATGTACTGGGAAGGCCTTGACCTTGTGGAGAAATGGAAAACCTTTTCACGGGTCAATACAGCAGTTGAGCAGGCAGGCGCAAGATACAGTGGAGCTCTGGAAGACATATGATCATAATCAAATCAAAATTAGAGAAATTGAAGATGAAGATTTGGCTGCAGTGTACCAGAGGATCATTTCGGGGGTAAACATCACTACAAATGATGTGAGGAAATACTTATACTCTTGCACCGGATTGTTTACTCAAGTTGTTGAAATCGACTTAATCGTCTCTCCCAACTACACCATCCCAAAAAATACCAGAATCAGTCCGTTATCCCTTTATGCTATGGCCACTGTGAACGTCTTGGGAAATGCAGCGACAGTTGAAAAGTACAAGGACACATTGATGAACTTACTGTTTTCTATCAGATTTCAGAGAGGAGAGAACCCAGCTCACCAGGACCAGTTGAAGAAGACAGCCAGGAAGACGAGGTCTAACTGGAATCATTATGCCTGGATGTCGAATATTGCTTGCCACAAACTGGATGATCTGTTGGCCGCATACGACTGGTACTTGTTCCTCAAAGAAATCGACGACCAGCCACTACCTTTTGGTACAGTGGCGACCCAGTGGAAGGACATGGGAGCGTTTCGGGACTTCTGCTTTATTGCAGAATTGTTTCCTGGTGATACTACACGACCAATCAGATGGATCCAGAATCCAGTTGTGGCCGATTCTGTGCTTGAAATGCATCTAATTACCACAGAAATCGGTAGTGTTGGAAGCTCATTTCCTTATTGTAAGGCAATGAAAATCTTCACTAAAAGTGACCTGTCCGTATCTGAGCATGCTATTATGCATGATTACATCCATGCTATGGGTGCCCTCATTGGGAACACTCGTTTGTGTAATAGTCGGTTTGTATCTAACAGCATTGCTCGCAGCGACGTCTGCATGGCCACGATGTGCATAATGGCGACTGGAGCCATGAAATCAGAGGTGCAACTCGATGATGACGACAGCAAAGTCATCAATGAAACCACAGCTAAAGCCCTCAGGTTAAGTGTACAAGAGGTGAACCAGATTCTGGACAATGTGGGGGTTTGGATTCAAACCTACAACAAGGATCCCTCTAGAGTTTGAAACTGGATAAAGTCTAGATTGACCTGCACCACCACAAAGCCGAGGACCTTTTCAGTCTTAGAACACCTGATGATCTCTCACCGCGACTGGAATGATTCTTGAGTCAATTTAGCCAAATGTCCGTTAATTAAACCTTTCTTTAAATTGTTAATTCTGAGTTTATTTGTATTAATCAGATTTAAACAATATTTGTCAGTTTTTGATATAGTTATTATGTAACAGTTCATTTTTACTATTACATATACCAGTAGATTCTGTAATTATTTTGCATTCTTTAAATCGCATACATTTTCTTAAAATTTGACAATTTTCAAATTTCATTGTCAGTTAAATTAGTAATTTAAATTATTTTTTATTTTTCGGAGATGAGAAAACTACTGAGGAAACTTCTGCTGAAGACCTGATAAATTGAATAAAAAGAAGAAGAATCTTGATGATAGCTCTGAAGATTCAGACTCTGTAGGTAATGAAGATGATTTAAAACCTAAAAGAAAGGTAGAGAAATTATTACTTAACAGTATTTTATAAACTCCACTCCCCTTTCCTTTCCAGAGATTTTTAATTTTTTTATCCAATTTTTTTTTCTTTTTGATGCATAATCTTTTTTTACATTTGGTGTGCTTTTATTGCCTTAAAGTGTTATACCGCAAATAAAGTATAACTCCATGAAATAATTTATTTTTGATATTATGGACGAGCTCTAGATCCAAGGTTGAAATAAAACCTGCTGCAGTTACTGCAATAAAGAGAGGAGAACCCTCTAAACCTGCTCCTCCTCCTCCCCCGCACCCTTGCCAAGTTTCAGCTCCCGGAGGGGTTTATAACCGTCCAGAATGATAAAACACGTAAAAAACGTATTTTTACCCGGACACAGCTGGTGTAAAGTTTACCAACGTTAAATCCTGTTGGGAGTATTACGATGAAGTGATAAAACAAAACAATTCTAAACAAGTAAATGATGCAGTTCTGGATGTTAAAAGCAGGTCTGAGAAAGGGATGAAACCGGCACAGAAACCTGTGATTTCCACAAAAGCCGAGAATACTTCTAAGAAGCGCAAACATGGTGAGAACAGTCCAAGGAAAACAGAAAGTTTAGAAACTCCAGGGTTTAAAGCTATGAAGTGCAGGTGCAGGAGATCATTTTATCAACCAATAGATAGGGGGAAATACAGGAATAAGGAGGAGGGGAGGGGGGGGGGGAATTTATGAAATTTTAATGCCTTCAACGAATATTTTCGAGTTAAATTGTTTCTTATGTTTCTTAATAAACCGTTTTAAAACTATTTTCCAAAACCATGAACATAAAAACTAAGGAAATTTTGAGTTATTTTCTCCATGTGGGAGTTAAACTCAAACCCTTTTCCCGCAAAGGAGATCAAACCATCACTCATTGTTAGGATTCCTTTCATTTTCATCCGGATCCAATTGTTTTGCTAATTTAAATTACCAAAAACAAAGCCACAAGCTGTGATTTTATAATCCCTACATCTTTTCAACCAGATATTGTAAACCGTTGATATTTCAAACTATGAATTCTGTTATATCAAGAAATCTGAGTTTGAAAGATATATAAATATATAAATAATATATTGAATTTTTTAGTAAATTCTGCGTGAAAGCTCAGCTTGTCGCTGTCGGGCAGAAGAAGGTTGTCGTTGTAACTTATTTTCCAATGTAAACAATAATCTAAACATATTTTTCAATCGGGAAAATAATTCATTTTGTTCATTTTTCTGTGGATAGTTTAAACATGCAAATTCTAATTTTAAAGAAAGCCTTGTGGGATAAATGCTTAAAAAACTCTCAAACCTTATTTTTTGTGAAAGTTAATGCATCTACATAACTGGCAGCAAGGTCAGAAATGTTTATTTTTACTTCTCTGTGGAAAATTATTGTTTTTTGACAGTAGGTCTGGTTCTCTGCTAGCTACCGGAGATGAGAAAACTACTGAGGAAACTTCTGCTAAAGACGAAGATACTTCTGATAAATTGAATAAAAAGAAGAAGAATCTTGATGATAGCTCTGAAGATTCAGACTCTGTAGGTGATGAAGATGATTTAAAACCTAAAAGCAATACGAGCTAGAGCTCCGGATCCAAGGTAGAAATAAAACCTCGAAAAGTTTATTATATTCCTTGATATTTTATTCTTTTAAGAATCGGGGATATCAATACTAGTAGAGTTAGATTGGTCCTGACTTTACAGTATCATGTATGATGTATCATGTATCATGTATCATGTATCATGCATCATGTATCAAACAAACAAACAAACAAACAATCAACCATCATTCCGTAGAAGTCAGGGCTGAGACCTCATCAAAAATAGCCACATTGGCTATTAATGTACCAATTGGTGACACACTGTCTAGTGTGGCCAACTGTCGAAGTACAGACCAATGACTAAAGTCACCGCCCAACTGCACACTAACAGTCCCCCAGAGTAGTCCATCTCGGTACTACCCCAGTATGAAGTTAATACAAAGCTTATTAGATTATTATTAGATAATGGTTTAAACATAAGATATAAGATTGTTTGACAAAAAAAACCCACCTTGAAAGCTCGCGCCCTACAGTTGACCTTCATGACTTTTAACCAGCCATGACTCCAATAACACTGCCATTTTCCTTCCTCTTTCAAGTAAGACTACTTGGTCTGACCCATCCCCCCCAAGATAAGCCCTGAGAATCTGCCATAGAGGTTTCTTACCATGAACGACATAGCTTGAGTGAAAATCTGCAATCCCGAAATCCCTACGCTGTGCCGCTACACATGAGCAGATAAGGACCATGTATCATGTATCATGTATCAAGTATTCTGTATCATGTATTAGTATCATGTATTATGTATCAAGTATTCTGTATCATTTATTATGTATAAGTATTCTATATCAAGTATTGTGTATCAAATATTCTGTTTAAAATATTCCGTATCATGTATTCCGTATCAAGTATTCTGTATCATGTATTCTGTATCTGAATCTGTATCTTGTATCTGTAACGACTAGAATCAAATTACTAAAAACAACTCTTAGTAGACGGGAAAGGTAGAGTCTACGGAGCGGGCCCAGGCATGCAACCCTCCAATTACATCTTTAATCTCCTTCTCTCCCTCCTCCCATTTCCAGTATTGATTAAGAGCAGCGCAAGCTATCTGACTATCATTCCCTCGGCGGCAAATACAAATTATCTTATTTGAACCAAAACTCGGAAAGTGTCGGCTTAGTGATGCCTCTGTTTGAAACTCATGTATCGGAATATTAATACTGCCAGGGATATTTCCCATTTCAAACTCTGTATCTGATCTAACATCAACCAGGATATGATCTGAACCCTCTTCTCTCATCCTGCTCAGCTCTTTCACAGATATTCTCATCCCATCATCCAGCAGTTTAAGTCCGGAATCCTTATCTGTTGCCTTAGATCCGCAGAACAGTTCGTAATCTACAAGTTTAGTGATATCTCCTCCCTTTTCCGTCCTGTTCCGTAGTTTGACCGTCCTAAAGGTTCCCTCCAGAGCATCTACCAGGAGAAGTTTCCCACTTAGTGAAGAAACTCCTTGAGTTAAAATCTTGATGGTTTCCAATGCCTAGAAAAACAAAATAATTTTAAACATTGCTTAAAAATAAGTGATTTAAAGGTTGCAAGCTCTCAAGCAAAAACCTATGAAAGTTTTGCCAATTTCTTCTTCAAAACCAAAGCTAACAAGTCCTTAATAGTGTTAAAATGTACATGTAAAGGGCTACAGAAACGCATAAGTGTTTAAGAGCGGTAAAATCAAAGCCCGCGAGGCGTTGCAACACTTAAATTCGATCCTGTCTTAAAAATTTATGAGCTGAATCTATGTGTGTAACTACAAAACAATTATGGACGGATATAACCACTAACCAGATTTAACTTTGTTAAAGATTGATAATAGTCGACCGACAATTATTCTTTGGCATAAGACAAGCAAGAAAAAAAGACAAGAGCGTTGATAATCAAATAAAGTTACATTTATTAATGATAAGACATAAAAAACATATTTTTGAATGATGGAATACAATCTTTTTATTCTAAACAAGGATTTCTTTCTCATGGTGGGGGTAAGGCACTGGATCATCTTCTCAAAAACTTTATTAATTGAAATGACAAGTATAAAATATACGAACTAAATAAATCAAACATACGATCAAATTTAGACATAAATTATACAACTAAGTGAATCTCAAATATAGAAAAAATAACAAATAAATGGAGTTTTAGCATATTGGGGCAAATGCAAAGAATGATTGGCTAGATGTCAAAATTATAGTTTTTGCTTTCGGGACCTAAAGAAAAACACAAATCAAGTGATATTAAAAATTAGCAAAACATGAGAGGGGGATGTATGAGATCAAATGAGATCAAATGAGATAAAATGACAGGTACATTTAGACTAGAATAAGCACAATATATTCCATAATGAAATTGAAAAAATAGAAATAAAATGCTGAAAATAAGATTAAAGAAAGGAACTGGATAATCCATTTAGTAACAAAAAACTTTACAAGAATGCGTAATTTCTTGTGGTTTAAGATTTTAATTTCCAAATATTTTTCAAAAATTTTTCGATGTAATTGATAAAAAAAGTTTATTTTGAAAAGTCGCCTTACCTAATAAGAAAAAGTATTTTTTTTTGATAGATTGTTTTATTCGAAATGTATAAAAAAAGCTTCCCAACTAATTTTCACCTGTAAAACCCCAATGAGCCCAGGAACAGCGCCGATAACCCCGCCATCGCTGCAGTTAGTAACCGCCTCCGCCGGCGGCGGAGTAGGGTACATGCATCTATAGGTGGGGCCACCAGTTAGATTGTACACAGTGAGCTGACCCTCCCAGCGCAGTGCGCTCCCAGATACAAGGCATTTATTTAACATCACACAAGCATCATTCAGCAAATACCTAAAAAGAAATTCTGTTTTAACAAATAATTAAAGTTTGTAATATCAAAGGTTTACACTTTACAGTTACACCATTAGAAAGAAAAATCTGTTTAAACAAATAATTAAAGTTTGTAATATCAAAGGTTTACAATTACACCATAAGGTTGCGAAAAATTTGGGTATTAGAAAAATTTAGGTTGTAGCAAAAACTCAGCTCCTTTATAGATAATTCAAAAAAAAGATGCCCCTTATAGATTAAAAGAATATAGGTGCAAAGTTAGCACCCTTTATCTCTATTATTACAAGAGTTATTACAAACTCCAGGAGACTAGTGAGGTCCTTTGAATTCAAACTTGAAGCTTCAATGAGATTTCTTAATGTCTTTCGACAAATAAAACTCTTAGAAGTATGAACAGTTTTTAATGGCACAGGAAAACAAGCAGAATTTACTGACTGGAAAGTGTATTCATATCAGCTCAAAACGGAGTAAAAAAAAATATAACAACCTAGTGGGAACATTGTCTGTGCAGTCCAGAACGATATCAAACTGTTTAATAATCTCCAGAGCGTTGATACTTGTAAGAGCAGCGTGAATTGGAACATACTGAACAAAATTATTAATTATATCAAAGTCCAGATTGTTTTAGTGGTGTAACAAGTGTGTGTATGTGAACAGTATTTTGTGCTTGAAATAAAGGTCGAGTGTTCGAAACTTTGAACCTAGGGTTAAGACCATTTAACTTTATTTAAGTTCCGGATCCTGGATCCACACTGGAAAAAAATGGTTGCGGATCCAGATCATAAACATTTCTTTAAGATTCAAGATTTTTCTTCTTTTTCTCGTTATTTTTATGCTAACACTTGATGAACCTTTCAGGGATAAGGGCAATTTTGTTTATCAATTTTTTTCAACAATTCAGATTTGGGTTTTGAGAGCAAAAGATTTTTATTTCAGTTTTTGGTTAACGTTTTCCCCCTTGGATCCGGATTCTAAGCACTGGTAGAGTCGAAAAGTACTTTAATTTTCGATCCAAAGTTTTCTTTACAGCTTATAAAAATGCAGATTAAATTTACCAAATTTACAAAAACCGGCCAGCACAAACGAGCCGACTAAAACGTTAGATAAAAAAACAGTGTCCACTTAAGTAGAAGAGAATACTATTTAAAAAAATGCAATGCACAATTCAGAGAAGGGAAAATAGATTTTTGATGATTCGGAGAGGAAAAATAAATTATTGGACATAAAAAAGTCAATTTTTTAAAATTCTTTTTGATACTTTTTGCCTAAAAATGTTCCCTAAAATCATTTATTTTCTCCAATACTGCGAAAAAAAACCTCTACAAATTTTTTTGCACTCCGCTCCGCGAAGTCTCATTTTTACCCATTGCCTTGATCATGATCTAGTATGATCCGCTTGAGATCCTGATATCTGTACCTCTGTATCTGGGTTTAAGGCTGCTAAAGATTTAGCAACGCTGACACACTTGAGCTCCCCTACCCTAGTCTCGGTATGCAAAATCTGCCTGAACAAAATATACATTTTACTTTCAAGATGTGTCCAGGAGTCAATATAATTCTATGGACATGTATTAACATTAAAGAGACTGTCAACCATCAATGACACCCCGCTACTCCCTTTGGGGATGGTGCGGTGATGTGGGCTCTTCCCAAAACTCTCTTCGGACAGATGGGTGACTGTTTTATTTATTTATTTATTAACATTAAAGAGACTGTCCACTCAACTTGAAATGGACATGTATTAACATTAAAGAGACTGTCCACTCAACTTGAAATGGACATGTATTAACATTAAAGAGACTGTCAACTCAACTTGAAATGGACATGTATTAACATTAAAGAGACTGTCCACTCAACTTGAAATGACTTTCTACCTTTCACCAGTTGACCCTCAATTTTCTTGGTTACATACTCGTTTCACAAAAATACCCTTTAGCCCTTTGTTTGAAAAAATTTATCAATTTAATTCTGGGTTTTCTTTCCTACATTGTATATTTTAAAGTCACTTTTTAAAATCTTCCGAAAGAAAACAAAAACTTCTCCTATATTTTTGTTAAATTTTTTTATTTAAAATTATCAATAATATCTCACCTATGCAAGTTTGAAATTTCGACAGTATCATGATCAACCAATCCTATCCGTCCAACCCCTGCTCCAGCTAGATATACACCAGCAGGACACCCTGAAATAGTATTATATTAATCAATCCTATCCGTCCAACCCCTGCTCCAGCTAGATATACACCAGCAGGTCACCCTACAATAATATCATGATCAATTCTATCTGTCCAACCCCTGCTCCAGCTAGATATACACCAGCAGGACACCCTACAATAATATCATGATCAATTCTATCTGTCCAACCCCTGCTCCAGCTAGCTATACACCAGCAGGACACCCTACAATAATATCATGATCAATCCAGCCCATCCCCACCCCTGCTATCAACTCCTAGTATCATGAGCAATTTATTTGTTTATTTAAAAAAAACTGATGGGGGTATTCTGGTCCCCAGACAATTCACAACCATCAATAATGAGCAATTATTGTGCGTTTACACTCACTCTTACTCAATATTTATTCATTCTCACACCTTAATGACAAAATTCTAGTTCTTATTGTGTTACGTTCTTGTTAACATTGAAAATATCATATGTGTAGCATACAAAAAAAGTAAAAATCTCAAGAAAAGGGTATTTAATGTTATAATTCTTACCTAGTCCCCCGCACCCAACTATCAAAACAGAACTTCCCTAGAAGAACAATTTACGTTAATTGAGAAGAACTGTTTTTCCTTTATGGAACTGGCTTTGTATTTTTATAAAAAGCACATCTGATTCACAACGGTAAAAAACCTTTATTTGATCAAAAATGTGGAAGATATTGTCGGATTTTATAAAGCAAACATCCAAAAGTCACTTTGAAGATAACAAGTTATTAAAAAAAATTCAACAAGAATATTATGGACACCTCATAACTTCTTGATTAGACAAAGCTTTTGTAGGTACCGTTGTGAATTGAACAAACTACTCTACACTCTACAGTATCTTTAATAATGTCTTTTTTTCTAACCTTCAATTTTCTCTGTGATTTGACCCTGAACTCGGGAAGGATGATTTGCCTGGAGAACTTTGCAATATCCTTATTATTTAGCTCAGGTTCCTTGTCCATCTCCGGCAAGTTGGTTCCAGAACAATCCTTAGCAAGGGTGTATATTTTTCACCATTTTACCCCCCCCCCCCCGGGGGGAATTATTTTTGATGAATGGGGGAGTGAAAAATGGGACATCAAAAGGAAAGTTTATTCATTCTTTTTGATACTTTTTACCCAAAAATCATTTATTTTCCCGAATTCAGCGAAAAACACATAAAAAAATTATGTGGCTCCGCGAATCAATATATAACTTTTAGGGACAATAACGGATTTTCTAATGGGGGGAATTGCATTTTAGGAAAATATACACCCCTGAACCTTAATACACTCAACCCGCTCATATGCCAGTAATCTATTTTCTAGAACTTCTATTCGACTGTTTTTTTCTGCCAGCTGATGCTTTAAATCTGATATTTCTTTCTCCAGCTCCTCCATTTTGTTCTGAATAAAAATATCACTGTTTAATGTTAAAGGAAAATTTAAATTCCGTTTTGGCCCTTTCTTCCTTCGATCCTGATATAGCGGCACTCTTTTTTATAAAGGATGGTTTTTCAGATTTTGTATTACCCTCTGTAATCTTTACTTTACTCAAATCTAGTTTCGACGATTTTTCATCCACAGCCATTTTAGCACGATAATCACCGTAGTTAGTTCTCATTATTTGGCGGATTTTCACAAGAGGAGTTAGAGGATTTTTCAGTTTTTTGATGTACTGTTTTATTTCGGCAGCTTTCTTCTCAGATAGTTTTCCAGATTGTAAACTCAATTCAAACTGTTCTACACACCACATTATCTCAGCCTGGAAAAGAGGCAAAAATTGAAGATTCCTATTTTTTAATTCTCATTTAAAGAGATGGTAGACGCAATTTCAACTGACCTTCCCTTTAAAATGGCATGTCTGTTTCAAACCGATTCCCCTTACCAAAATAAGAATAATTTTTTTTTAAATTTTGGTATTGTAACTTGCGAATTTGTCGTAGAAAAAAAATTAATATTTTTTCAGAATTTTAACACTTTTTTCAATAAATTCAACATTGTTGATTAATTGTCCATCAGGCGACAGGCATGGTGCATGGAGGGTCACTTGTATTTACAACGTCAGTTCCATAGATATTTGTTTTCGTATTTCTAATTCAATTTTTATGCTTTTTTCCTGTAACTGCATTTGAGCAACTTCTGGATCTGTATCGGAATCTGCCATTTTCTTCTGTAACCTTAGAAAATGTATAAAAAATATTAATAATTATTGGCTGAACTGTCCGTATCTATGGTTCCTCTGCCAAGGTAGAGAAAGCGGGTTCCCTGGTTCCTCGCAGATATATGGAGACGGAACCTTCTGCTGAGAGAATAAAGCTCCGGGAAGGGTTAAACATCCACCAACTGAAAAATATCAAATAAATATAAAAAAATTATTTCACCTTTTTACTGTCAAATTTTCAATTTAATGTGCCAAGTAAACCAGAATGATCGATAAAACTCTTTTTTATTCGTTATATAATAGAACAAATAGTTTTTTAAACGCTTTAGTATCTATTAGAGTACCAATGTAAAACTTGCTAACATTCTGTAAAAAGAGTCAATTAAAATAACAATGACGGGTTTCATTCATCAGATTGATCATTAAATTCCTCTCTATACCTATGCAATTAACTGTTTGAAGGTGAGCCTCTCCTATATCTGTAGAAACAAAAATTAATCTCTTCTCCTCATCAACACCCCTGAACACAAAGTTTTAATGAATGCAATATAACAGGTTCCTAATCTATTCATATACCTTGCTTGTCTGTTTCTTTGTTTGTTTGTATTCAATAAACGTAAAAACAGCTGATCAGATCGAGCCCAACGAGGTAACTCACATGTCCATAAGGGGAAGGTTATGGATGATCAGGCTTTTAAAAATTTGTCTTCAAAAAACTTTGATTTTCATCCACGAAAAAACATGATGAAATACGCGAACTTTTTTTGTTATTATTTTCTATTTTACGAAGATAAAATGCTCACCGATAGAGCCACAATTCACAATTAAAATAGAAGATGGGCGTGAAGCGCCCTGAAAGCCTAGTCTTCTAAATCATACTTCACTTCCAAATTGAAATATTCTTATTTGTAAATAAAAATTTTTTTTTTTTTTTAATATTTTTAATATAAGAACCGAAATAATTTGATTTTTTATTTCGATCGATCATTGACTTTCACAGAGATAAAGGATAATTAAAGGTTTTATTTTATTTTTTTTCGTATGATTGACAAAATAGTCACTTCAAAGAATTAATCAGTTTTTAATCGTTGCAGTACAGTTTGAACTGATAATTGTTAGAAAATATGTTTACCTGACAACACCAACACCGAGGCTTTCGACTACAGGTGAATTGTTTAGTACAGAATAATCATCACTAAATAGGAAATTAAGAGATATGTTTTAAATATCTTTAAAGAAGATTTTTCTAGTAAAATTATTAAGATTTAGTGGTTTAATGTTAATTTTCAGTGTGATTTGTTTAAAGGTTAATAATACGGTGTCATAGATTGAGATCAACCGGTATGATTATATGATAGAATATGGTCAAATGGGTTGATAGTGTTTAGTGTGATTTATGTGCATGTTCAATAGAATTATATGGAGTTGATTCCCTGCATTCAACATGAATGACTCATGTTTATAGCAGTTATTGAGAAGCAGGGGTGTATATTTTTCTGTTTCCCTTCCCCCCCCCCCAGGGAGGCTAAAAATATCAGCTTTCTTTCAGTTTGGGGAAAAAAATGAAGAAAAAAGGAAAAAGGGGGAAAGGAAGGGGAAAAGGGGGAAGGAAAGGGGAAAAGAAAAACGGAAAGAGAGAAGGGTAAAAGGGGGAAGGGAAGGGGAAAAGGGGGAAGGGAAGGGGAAAAGGGGGAAGGGAAGGGGAAAAGGGGGGAAGGGAAGAGGAAAAGGGGGAAGGGAAGAGGAAAAGGGGGAAGGGAAGAGGAACAGGGGGAAGGGAAGGGGAAAAGGGGGAAGGGAAGAGGAACAGGGGGAAGGGAAGAGGAACAGGGGGAAGGGAAGGGGAAAAGGGGGAAGGGAAGGGGAAAAGGGGGAAGGGAAGGGGAAAAGGGGGAAGGGAAGGGGAAAAGGGGGAAGTGTAAAAGGGGGAAGGGAAAAGGGAAGAGAAAAGGGGGAAGGGAAAAGGGAAGAGAAAAGGGGGTAGAGGGAAGGGAAAAGGGGAAGAGGAAGGGGAAAAATGGGAAGAGGGAAGGAAAAAAAGGGAAGAGGGAAGGGAAAAAAGAGAAGAGGGAAGGGAAAAGGGGCAACATGGAAGAAAAAGGAGGCAAAAGAGAAGGGAAAAGGAGGAAGGGAAAGGGGGAAAGTGAAAGAGGAAAAAAAAATTTGACAGAAAAGTATTTTGATGTTGTGGATCCGGGTTTTAAGCACTGATAAAACTGATAAAATCTGACTGTAAGTGAAGAAAGGTGGGTCCACAATGTTTGAAGTATATTCATTCCTTCAATGTTAGTTTCCATTTTGTTCTCTAAATATTCCTGTGTTTGGGCCTCATAATTTTCTCCTCGTCCACCCTACAGAGATCTACAGGTTTCAAGAGCAAAGCAGCGAGCAGCCCGTTATTAGGAACACGCGCGTGCGCAACATTTAGACAAACCTGGCAGCACGAAAAATATACAATATTATTAAATAAAATATATATTTTGTAAAAATGTTAGGCAAAAACTTAAATTAGTTTAGAATTTGTGAAATCATTCACAAAATGACCCAATTTTTCCCTGTTTTTTTTGGTTTCAGAAATGATAAATAACTTTTTAAAGAAAAAAGAATTAATTACGGCTGAAATTTGAAAATTCTGAACTATTACTCAATCTTGGAAAATGTTTAAAAGTTGCATACCATCCATCTTCCATAGATGATTTACCTGGGAGAAATGAATTGAATGAACTGGAATACTAGTAATCCCTCCTCTTCTACCGAACCAGGACAAGGTTTGAATATCCCGGAGAACTCCGGGTTCAGGTATACCCCAGGAATCCCTGCTCCGCATATCCTTAGCAGATCTACTCTCAGGGACAGCACTGAACTCTAGACAAGGACAGATTATATATATATATATATCTATATATATTACTGCACTCTAGACAAGGACAGATTATATATATATATATATATATTACTGAACTCTAGACAAGGATTAATAATTCTATGGGGTTTTTAAACGCGACCTTTAAGAGAATATTGACTTAATTTCAGGCAGCCCTCCATTAATGGAGAGGTATGTCCATTATCCGATACACAACCGTACTGAATAAAGAATACTGATATAGGCTTTAGCTGATCAAGAACCTTAAAGATATCGTTATTTTTCTCGATTGAAAAAGCATAATTCTGACAAATTGCCTTCATTGTTTCTACAGCACAGATATCATAATTCTGACAAATTGCCTTCATTGTTTCTACAGCACAGATATCATAATTCTGACATATTGCCTTCATTGTTTCTACAGCACAGATATCATAATTCTGACAAATTGCCTTCATTGTTTCTACAGCACAGATATCATAATTCTGACATATTGCCTTCATTGTTTCTACAGCACAGATATCATAATTCTGACAAATTGCCTTCATTGTTTCTACAGCACAGATATCATAATTCTGACATATTGCCTTCATTGTTTCTACAGCACAGATATCATAATTCTGACAAATTGCCTTCATTGTTTCTACAGCACAGATCTGCAAGAATCTTTTGTAGAAAACACACAATTCAAACAAATTATAAGAGTAGCATAGATATTTTGTTCATTATTGATTGTAAAAAGTCATTTGAAATTGCACCTCCTTCTTTTAGCTCTTAAAGCGTCATCAACGATTCACAACAGTACTCTTTAATCAAGGTATTATTCATATAACAGTTGCTGGTACTATCTGTTACATGTCAATCTAAATGTTTAGGTAAAACAAATGAATTTAGGGGGGACATCAAACCAGACTCTAAGGCGTGCCTTCCTTTCACTCCCCAAACCCTAAGTGACAGGTCTAAAGGTTCTTTAACAAAAATACTCTTGTTTTACCTAGCAGTGAGTATCTGAGAGGTTTCGGAATTTTACTCCATGATGAATTTGTTTCACTCACGTAATCAGAGCTCAGGGAGCAGGAGAAATTTTTCTTGGAAAACCTAGAAAATATCAATTTTAACCATTGTAAAAAATATCAACTTGGCAATAACAAATGCAAGTTTTAAAAATTTGCCAAACGAAAAACAAAGATTATAAGATAAACTTCTGTGCTAAGTTGAAAAAAAACATTTTGAATAAATTAAACCACTGTGCTCAGTTTAATACGACCTTGAATATAATTGAACCACTGTGCTAGGTCGAATAAGACGAATGACATCTGTAGTAAGAAGACAGCCCAGCCCCTGTGCCCAACCCATTGTATTAGCCAGTAGAGGTAGAGATCCATACTCTTCAGCAAACTTCAACAGTTTCTTTACACAGTGTATGTAACGACCTGGAATATTAAAGTAAAAATAAGGGTGAGAGGGAAAATAGGACGAAGATGACAAAGAGGACAAAGAGGACATTGACAAAGAAGATAAAGAGGACATTGACAAAGAAAGAGGACAAAAAGGACAAAAAGTTAAGATAAAAACAGTTCTTAAGAGTACAACAAGTACAAGGAATACAAAGAGTACAAAAAGAATAAGAGTTCATTGAGAAGAAAAAATGGGAGATGAGGACACAGTAAAGAGATAATAAATCATCAGGAGTACAGAAATTGCATGCAGTACTTTCAATTTTTTTTCGTCCCTTGCAGAAATAAATATGAATTTTGATGCATTTTTTATTGTGATATATTGACAAAAACAAAAATCTCAAATTTATTCAATATTTTTTCACTAAACGAAGCCCAGGGACCGAGATTAATGAATTCTAGTGGCCACTAAACTACTTACTACCGGTTAAAATCTTGAAACACCGATTCAAAATTAAAGATTCATAAGAATTAAGGTAATTAAGGTTCTCTGAAACAAGTTTTATACACGGTTTAACCCGCAGGACTTTAACTAGATCTGATTATTGATAATCAAAGTAAATACCTGGATTATTTGAAACATTTATATCTCCGAAATAAATGCTTTTTGTCCATTCCGTCTCAGGCTGACAGAAACTAGGACCTGCAATAAGTTGAGTCAACTAGTTAAGGGATATGACTGATAAATTAACAATTTTACATAGTAAAGGTTGACTGATTAATAGTAAGTATACCTAGTAAAGGATGACTGATCAATGATAAGGATAAATATCCTGGAAGACCGAACTCCCTCTGACCAGGATCTAGGTCCAGGTAAAGAACCTTCCCCTCCTTGACCAGCCTATTCGTCAACCATCTGAATACACAGTGTCCTGCTGATAAAAAATCCAACATGATTTCAGCAAAGTCAAAGATTCATGAGGATTAGAACTAGTAAAGCAGAATTTGAACAATTTAATAAATTGGGTCCCTTGAACATGGTTTAGTACAGGGTGTCTCAAATCATATTGGATCGTGTTATAGCTTTTAATTGCGATTTCTGGGACTAATCTGAAAATAACAAATAATTCAAAAAAAATGTATGTGGCTAATATAAAGATTTGCATGCAGAAAATACTAGGTTTTTCGAGTATTATGTGCGTATTTTGGCGTTATAAGCTTGGAGATAATCTAATATGATATGGGACTCTCTGTAGAATCAGCAATATAGCCGAATATTAAGAATTGAAACTAATCGTTACAAATTTAAACCTAGAAATACATTACTCCAGGACTTTATAGTGTCAGAGTCCCGTTGTTGAAAACGCAATATAAGTGTGACATCCCATCTTTCTTGAAATCTATAATTCTATGCTGTGATTGTTATCTACCTGAGAAATGATGATTTCCCCACCCCCTTCCCCCCTGCCACGAGAAGACGGGGCTGCTCCCCCTCCCTCCTCACCAGCTGCATACTGGTGTGAGACACGCCCCACTCCTTTAATATAAAATAATAAAAATTGTATTTTTTAACAATTAAAGGGATTTTACACGGATCAATGAAGGGATATGTAAGATGATTTTAATGTATCTTAAAGGGATTGTAAGCGTGATTTCAAGTGGCCTTCCAATAGCAATACTAGACTTATAACAGTACCCTTAAACCTTAATCTAATTAAAAATGTGGCAGATAACAAAAGCATTGATATCGAATTCATACTTGATCAGGCAAAACTTTTAAGGGTACCGTTAAAAATCGAGCATTGCCATCTTTGCCCTATGCTCACTGGCAATGATCTTCTTTCATATTTAACAAAGATATTTTTTTATGATACTTTTTAACTGTGGATTCCTTAAATAATGACTTGAGTGATTACACAGCAGAGACAAAAATGGAAATGACAGAATTCTACAGGTTGGTTTAATTGGTGAATTTATGTTATTGTATCACTGGTGTGATAATTAAAACATCTCAATCTTTTGTCTACGTTGGCCATTCAGTAGTTTAGCCATTCATCTAGTTTATTCTTGAAACTATTCAAGTTCTCTGCATTTTTCACATCTTGTGGGATTTCGTTCCACATATTAACACATCTTGTGCTAAAAAAATTTGGATATATTTCAGTCTTTACAGCTGGAACTTTCAAGTTTAAAGGATCACTTGACTGCCTGGTTTGAATACCCCTTCCTTCTTCTGGTACATACGCAGAGCTGAACCATTTGTTTTTGTCCGCATGGTCTTGTCCATGTAGAATTTTCCAGACTTGGATCATATCTCCTCGCTTTCTTCTGTTCTCCAGGGAGATCAAACCAACCTCTTTCAGGGTATGATGCTATATCGATAGGACTAAAGGCCGTTTGGGAGTACAATTGCACTAAGTCAGCTGTTCACATACCGGTTTTTAGTCCATTTGAACATTAGTACATCATCATATACTTTCATGTGTAAAAATTCTTTAAACTTGATAGGAGGTGATTTTTAGAAAATTGACAAATTAGTTCAATTGAACAAATATTTGTTCAAAAGGACAATAGTCCTTTTGAACCTTAGTTCAAATGAACATTAGGCTAAACGAACGTTAGAACAATCGATCATTAATTTGAGGGGTCACTCAAAATAACGTTGACAGTCTCTTTCAAAGAAATCGGTTCCCACTAGGGTTCAAAAAAGATGTTAATTACTTTCCCAAAGGCATTTTTCCAAGCGGCAACTTCCCAAGGGTATTTTCCCAAGGGTCAACTTCCAAAATGTGGAATTTCCAAAGCCGCAACTACAAAGTCATTTAGAGGACAAATAAATAGCAGTATCGAATTGTTCCTGCTTATCTTTATTTTTTTGAGAATCTTTCGAATACATATTGGCGGCAGATTACTACGAAAAAATTTGTTTATATTTGCATTTAAAAAAAAAAGCTTTCACACCCACAAGGATTTTTATTTTCGATGCATCCTCATTCCCAAAAAACCTTGATTTATATGATTTGAAAATATCAACTCAGATGATTGACCTACCTCCCCTTGCTTCCAGAGCTTGGTAGAGACCCTGTCTGGTCTGAAGAGGGTGATATCTAGACACTTCTCCACATCCTGCAGCTCATCAACATCCTTAACCATGAGATACTATTTACAGGATGAAGATTTAGATTCAAGTTTGAATAATATACCAAAATGATAAAATTTTATTATAAAAACAGACGTGTTTCTTGTATTTTGATCAGAATAAATTTTTTCCAAGAAAGATGAATCCTTGGTTCTTAAAACTACGTTCAAACCCAGTGCATAGGATCCATTTAAGTTGATGCGGGCGGATCCTGGATCCGCACTAAAAAAATTAATCAGTTCTTAAAGATTTACTGATTTTTTAACAGAAGAATTTTTAAATTACTAGCCTTAGAGGGCGCTTCGCGCCCATCTTCTAAATTAATTGTGAACATGTTCTCTTTGTGTACATCGTAAAACAAAACAAAAATAATTTGAGGATTTTCACAAAAAAATTTAATGAAAATCGAATTTTGATGGAGACAAATATTTGAAATTTTGATTATTCATAAACCTTCCCTGGGGTCCCTGGATGTCCCACAAAAAATTTGGGCCCGATCGGTTCATCCGTTTTGACGTTTATTGGATACAAAAACACAGACAAACAAACAAACAGACAGACAAGCCAAATTTATATATAGATTTTTCATCTTTTTTTCGTCATTTTTATGCTAAAACTTGATGAACAATCAAGCGATAGTGAAAATTTTGATAATCTCTTTTTTCAACAGTTTAGATTTGGGTATTGAGAGCAAACGATGTTTGTTCACAATATTTGGTTGATATTTTGCTCCTTGGATCCGGATCCTAAGAACTGTTCAGTGTTCATAACTATTCAAAATTATGATCGGTTTGGTAAGATTTTGTAAAATTTTTCTCCTATTTGGAATTTCTACCAAATTTGGTGGTAAAAACTATCATATAGGTCAAATAAAACAGAGACGGTATTCTAAATTATATTAATTAACATATTATAGAATAGTATGTTGTTTACTCTAAATACATGTAATACTAGTCGATGTTATTTAATTACTAAATATTATGAAAACTTTAGTCATAATTAAATAAACTGAATCTACCTGACTGCTGAGATCTCTTCCAAACAAATTTATTTTCTCCGCTTTCTTTAAATTCTGAAACAAGTGTCAAATCAATTACATTTATTACCTTTGTCAAAGAAAAAATGTTAAAATATATCCTTGGACTCATTGAATCGAAAATTGTACGTAGATATCAAAAATGGTCTAAATCTTAAATGTTTTTTTAAAAATCTACATTGTTCTACTTAAGCTTAAATTGAAAAGTACAAGTGTATTTAGAAATCTGACTTACCTTTTTTAAATATTCCATCCACGGCTCAGTGAGTTTTTTTGCGATAAACAAAATACTCGAGTTTAAAGTTGATGCATTGATTATCCTTTCACTGTGACAAAAATTACATTTACAAATTTTAAAATGATACAATTTAATAAATTCATTTTTAAGTAAAAGAAATCAGATTGAAACTTGTCTCTTTGTAGTTTTTTTTTTTTTCATAAAAGTTTGTTAAAGATTTCCTTGCTAGTCGATCCTCTAACTCAGCATCAGAGTTTCCTTCCTTGGTTCCACTGAACAATATTAAACATTCAAATTCAGACCTGGGGGTTTATATTTTCCTGAAAAATCATCCCCCCTTTAAAAACAATTNAAAACAAATAATTTTAAGGGGAAAATAAATAGACGGATCTTCAGAATACCACCTACCCCTTTCAGGGGGAATTTCTGAAAATATACACCCCTGAATTCCTGAAAATGTACACCCCTGAATTCCTGAAAATATACACCCCTGAATTCCTGAAAATATACGCCTCTGAATTCCTGAAAATGTACACCCCTGAATTCCTGAAAAATATACACCCCTGAATTCGGAACTTCAAGAGAATCTACTGAAATACAGATTTCCACAAAGGATGAGACTGAAGACTGGAAACCCTTAAGATACGGTTAGAAGATTTCTGCCTTAATTAACATATTTTGACATTTTGATACAGTCGTTTCTGATGTCTCATCTTTTGTGGGTAACCCTGTAATTCGGTGCATAGGATCCGGATCCAAGAGGCAAACTATCAACCGAAGCTTGCTTAAACACATAATTATGCTCTCAAAATACAAATCTCATTTTTTAACCATTAACAGATGAGTGAAAAATTTTAATCTCTAAATGGCCCATTAAGTTTCGCATAGAAATAGCCAAAAAAAGATGAAAATATTTCGAAATCTATTCAGGATCCGGATCCATTTTTTAGGGCAGACCCAGGATGAGGATCTGCATCAAAATGAAATGGATCCTAAGCACTGCTGTAAATCGGAATACAGAATAGACATATTCTCAGCAAAATAAATACAAGATGATCAAATTTAGGCCGGTTTTCCGCAATAAATCGAAATTTTGTTCTGAAAACATAACTTTGAAAATTTTATATTTGGTAAAGAACCCGTAAGAAGTAAGACATTTTGTAATAATTGCCTAGGAGCAGGATATAAAGTCCGATTGTCGAAATCTCTTTCCGGAGACTTGGAACCTCTGAAAAGTGGCCTCCGTCGGCTCCGATTTTTTATCTCTGGACTCGTTGTGCATAAATAGCCCAATTTTTTAATAATACTCCCAATGACCCCTAGAATACGCTAAAGAACAAATCGAAATTTTGTTCTGAAAACAAAACTTTGAAAATTTTATATTTGGTAGATTTACCTGATGCTTAGGAGGGAATATCCTCTAGGTGAATATATAGAAGTATATTCATCTCTTGGCTCCAGCTCATATCCTTGAACACTCACTACTCCCTTCAAATACAAGGATAAGGGTTTCTCCGAGTATTAGTGTGCCGTTAGTGATACACAAATGTACAATTTAAATGTAAATCAATAATAGATGTCAGAAATAAATCACGAGTCAGTTTCGAGAAAATCCGTAAATGCACAAATTAAAATTTCAATGAGAGAGACAAAACCTTCGGGAAAAAAATGCAATTTTTTTAATTACAGAAATTAAGTAATGTTAAATCAACAAGAGTTGAATCATTCTTGTAAACATTTAATCCTTTTAAAGGAAATTATTGCCGTCACAACAATTTGTACAGAGTTAAATAAATTTGATCCCATTAAATGATAACATGGTAACTAAAACTAAATTATAAGAAAAAATAAAGGATCTGCAACCCAAAATTCTTGACAATATTTTTCTGTATACCTTGAGAACTTTGATCTGCATTGAACCCTTGAAGAAGAACTCTGCCCCGACCTTGAACCCTAAGAGAACCCTGTCCTGGTCTAGCATCCTGTGCTCCAGAATATCACTAGGATTGAGTACAACCTCCTCCTCCTCTTCTTCTTCTTTCTCCTGACCCTCCTCCATATCGGATGGATCAGTCAGAGCAAAGCTTGTTGTACTCACGTCTCCTATTCCGTCCTCTGATATGTAAAAATCCTCTTCTCGAGCCTCCCCGTCCTTGATACCATTATCTTCAACCGCGACCTTCCGCTTTTGTCTCGATGAAGACATGAAAATTTTGATAATCTCTTTTTTCAACAGTTTAGATTTGGGTATTGAGAGCAAACGATGTTTGTTCACAATATTTGGTTGATATTTTGCTCCTTGGATCCGGATCCTAAGAACTGTTCAGTGTTCATAACTATTCAAAATTATGATCGGTTTGGTAAGATTTTGTAAAATTTTTCTCCTATTTGGAATTTCTACCAAATTTGGTGGTAAAAACTATCATATAGGTCAAATAAAACAGAGACGGTATTCTAAATTATATTAATTAACATATTATAGAATAGTATGTTGTTTACTCTAAATACATGTAATACTAGTCGATGTTATTTAATTACTAAATATTATGAAAACTTTAGTCATAATTAAATAAACTGAATCTACCTGACTGCTGAGATCTCTTCCAAACAAATTTATTTTCTCCGCTTTCTTTAAATTCTGAAACAAGTGTCAAATCAATTACATTTATTACCTTTATCAAAGAAAAAATGTTAAAATATATCCTTGGACTCATTGAATCGAAAATTGTACGTAGATATCAAAAATGGTCTAAATCTTAAATGTTTTTTTTAAAAATCTAAATTGTTCTACTTAAGCTTAAATTGAAAAGTACAAGTGTATTTAGAAATCTGACTTACCTTTTTTAAATATTCCATCCACGGCTCAGTGAGTTTTTTTGCGATAAACAAAATACTCGAGTTTAAAGTTGATGCATTGATTATCCTTTCACTGTGACAAAAATAACATTTACAAAATTTAAAATGATACAATNGGGGGGGGGGGGGGGTCCAAAAATCGTATACTAGGAAATTACCAAAAATCGTATACTAGGACGGACCCTGATATAAGGGTAAGGGTTTATATAACTTTCACTTAAACGTTATATTTCATTCACTACAATTCCTGTACAAAAATATAGTTCTTTCGAGTTTAATTGATTTGAGCGCCCGGGTACTTTCGTCGCCAACTTCTGGACACCCAGCTGGTTCAATTGAGCCGTAATAAAATTAGGTTCCGAAAATCCGTTAAATGAGAGGTTTTCCCGAATTTTAGGTTTAATAATTTTCCAAAAGAATTTCTCTCCCGCAATTCTTGAGAAAATAATTAACCGCGGCAACTTTGCTTAAGTTTTTGAAAGCAAGGACGACTTTTAATTTTTCTGCGACAAGTCCCACTGGTGGATGGGTGCTTTCGGTGACGTTCGATAGGACTAATAGGACTAATGTGGATAGTGTATTTTTCGGTGGATCCGCGTTGATCTACTGCCATTTAAACTATTGATCATTTAAACTATAAATCGTTTTAACTATAATATTGTTCATTATAACTACTGATATCGAAGTCATTTCGTATGTAGTTAAAACGCACATTATTTACTCGAGCTTACATTATATAATTGAATGAAGTTTAAAATTTTTATATTTTATGAAAAGATATAGGTCAAACAATCATCACAAAATGATTATTTCATATATGCATATGTACATGGACATAAAAATGACCAAACACATAGTTCAAATAAAGCATTTAATAAAATTGAGAAAAAAAGTAATTCAAATGAGCTAAACAATTTTAAGTTCAAATTTTAACCAAGAAAAAAAGTTCAAAGGAGCAAAAAAATAATTCAAGGGAACCAAAACATAGTTCAAATGAGCGAATAGTTCAATCAAATGAAAAAAAAGATAGTTCAAATGAGAAAAAAAGAGTTCAAAGAGCAAAAAAATAATTCTACTGAGCAAAAAATAGTTCACATGAGCAAAAAGATATTTTAAATAAAATCTTAAATTAAATAAAATGATCAGTTCAACCTTGACAATTTTGAAATTGGTCGTTTGAACGATCATTGCACTGTACGTGGTGTACGTGTATATGACCAATAGTTCAAACGATAATAATATTCTGTGTGCACTTAAATATTTTTTTGCTCATTTAAACCATCAAAAAAAATAGTTCAAATTGAGCCGAAAAATATATAGTTAAAATGATCCAAAAACATAGTTCAAATAGTTCAATTATGACCCAAAAAATAGTTCCATATGAGCCAAATATAAATAGCTCAAATTGATCCACAAAGCATAGTACAAATGAGCAAAACAGATAGTTCAAATGAGCAAAAATATATGTTTATATGAGTAAAAAAATAGTTCAAATGAGCCAATAAATAGTTGACCAATAATATTTGATATTATTGGTCATTTTGCCAAAGTGCCTGGCTCCCTTGCCTGTCCTAGCCGCAGCAATCTGCCCCCAGCCTTTCATATACATAGCTGCAGCGCTCGGCGCAGAAAGTGTCCTAACCTATAAACCCTGAAATAATACATAATAAATATTGTTTTGTTAAAAATAGTTGAAATTAGGCCAAGTACAAAAATGAAGGGTGGGGGGAGGGGGTCCAAAAAAATAGTTCAAAAGAACAAAAATATTTAGTTCAAATGAGCTGAAAAAAGTTGCTCATTTGAACTATCTTTTTGATTCATTTGAAATTTTGTTTTTGCTCATTTGAACTATTTTTTGCTCATTTAAACTATTTTTTTGTCCATTTGAACTTTTTTTTTGCTCGTTTGATCAATTCTTTTTGATTTGCGATTTTGAAGAGTCACAGAAGTTCGTGGTAAGATTTTTACTCCACTGGAGACCACCGGAGGGAATTCTTTTTCATTGGAGGGGTTTGAAAAAATTCTTTTTACAATTCAAAATTTTACGCAGGGTGATTTACATTCCACTGGAGGGATTCATATGTCCTTCCTGGGGGGTTATAATTCCACTGGAGGGATTTAGGTATCCTTCCCAGGGGTTTATAATTGCACTGGAGGGATTCAGATATCTTTCCTAGGGGTTTATAATTCCACTGGAGGGATTCAGTTATCCTTCCAAAGGGTTTATAATTCCACTGGAGGGATTCAGATATCCTTCCAAGGAGTTTGTAATTCCACTGGAGGGATTCAGATATCCTTCCTGGGGGTTTATAATTCCACTGGAGGGATTCAGATGTCCTTTCTGGGGGGTTATAATTCCACTGGAGGGATTCAGTTATCCTTTCTAGGGGTGACTAACTCCACTGGAGGGATTCAGATATCCTTCCAAGGGGTTTGTAATTCCACTGGATGGATTCAGTTATCCTTCCAAGGGTTTTATAATATCACTGGAGGGATTCAGATGTCCTTCCTGGGGGATTATAATTCCACTGGAGGGATTCAGTTATCCTTCCAAGGGGTTTATAATTTACCCTGCGTAAAGTATTAAATTGTAAAAAGCATTTTTTGAAACCCCTCCAGTGAAAATAAAATTCCTCCGGTGGTCTTCAGTAGTATCAAAATCTTACTACGAACTTCTTTGAGTCGATTTTGAACTATTTTTTTTGCTTATTTGGACTATTTTTGGTTAATTTGAACTATTTATTTGCTCATTTAAAAGCTTTGTTTTGTTTAATTTGAACTTAATTGTTTAGCTCATTTGAACTATAAAATGCGTCATTTGAATTATTTTTATGTCCATATGTAAAATATTGTTTGATCATGTCTATTTTGTGATGATTGTTAGACCTAAATGTTTTCATGAAATATAAAAATCTTAAACTGCATATTTTAGTTCAAATGAGTATATAACAGAAAAGGACGTCATTATCAGTAGTTTGAATGAACATTATTCAAACGATCAATAGTTCAAACGGCAGTTTATTTCAAATGTGGATCCACCTCCGATTGAAGATAAATGTTTTGAATTTACTGTTCAAATTTTGCCTCCAACTGGGGGAGGGCAAAAAAATTACGCTTCGATCTAAGTACAACCCTCAATATTTATTTCTGTATACGCCCTCGACTATAATAGTCCTTTTGAACAAATATTTCTCAATTTAACTATATGAACTTGCACTCACGAGGAGACAATCCAACCACGTCAAAAAAAATAATTTCCGTCTAGAATTGGCTCATTTCATGTTTAGCTCATATATCTGATCAAATCTTAAATAGAACAAATGAACAATGAAATGTTTATTCGGACTAAAACCCCAATAAGTGGGGAAATCCTTATTAGTTCAAATGCACAAAATTTAAAACAAATGATCAAAAAAATGTTCGTTTGAACTTTGAACTAAAGCTTGAATAATAATTGTTTTGCCATGCATATCCAAGTTAGTACAAACGAACAAATGAACAAAAAATATTTATTCAAACTATATAGAGCTTAAATTTTAATCATTTCCTATTTGTTCCAAATTAGTCCAAATGAACACGTATTTTATGAATGAATAAAAAAATATTCATAATTGAACTTAAACTTAAATTGTGATCATTTGCCAATGTTTCAAACGAACATATTTTAGAACCTATGAACACAAAAATGTTCAATCGAACTAAAGCTTGAATTTTAATCATTTTGACACATAATTTCTAGTTCATTTGAAAAAAAAATTAGAGGACTAGAGGACCTCTCCATCATATATTTACAGCTTATCAAGTTCACTGCTCGGTCAAGTCTATGAGGGCTAGGAGACATCTATAATGTCGAACATTTATTCCCATTAAAGATGGACTTTATGTCCTGGATTAACAGGACAGACATAATTGCAGTCTAAATTCTAAATAATTGCAGTTTATATAGTCTGATTTTTCATTATTTCGTAGGTTTTTGTATCATTAATACATCCATAATTTACACATTAATTTATTAACATATACAGCGAACCAGACACAGCTCAAGGATTGCGTAGACCAAGGAAACAGTAAACCAAGGATAAATTAAACCAAGGATAAATTAAACCAAGGATAAATTAAACCAAGGATAAATTAAACCAAGGATAAATTAAACCAAGAATAAATTAAACCAAGGATAAATTAAACCAAGGATACATTAAACCCAAGGATACAGTTAGGCCAATGAAACAATAAAGCAAGGATACATTGAGCCAAGAATGCAGTAAACCAGGGATACAGAAAACAAATGAAACAGTAAACTAAGGATACAGTAAACTAAGGATACAGTAAACCAAGGATTCAGTAAACAAAGAATACAGTAAACCAAGGATACAGTAAATCGAGGATACAGTAGACCAAGGATACAATAAAGCAAGGATACAGTAGACCAAGGATAAATTGAGCCAGGAATACAGTAAGCCAAGGGTACAGACTACAGTAAACCAAGGATACAGAAAACAAAGGAAACAGTAAACCATGGATACAGAAAACAAAGGAAACAGTAAACCAAGGATACAGAAAACAAAGGAAACAGTAAACCAAGGATACAGTTAACCAAGGATACAGTAAAATAAATATAACTATATGAATTTGCAACACTTATAAAATAAAAATTATAATTAAAATTTTAGGCTTTACTAATCCAATAAATAACTGGTGATCCGTAAATTGCAATTCTACCAATTTGAGATGTGATACTAAGAGTAAGAAGTGCAGTTTTATAAATAATATATTCCATTCATATCCTGATAAATTAGTAAATCTAAAATTCAATTCTATTTAATTTTTCCTTATTCCTAACCTTGATCCTATCCAAGTCCCTGCCTAAAGTAGTCTTGTAACGCAAATAAAGTGCACGTATTTTTTAATGGTTTTCATGGAGTTCATGCATCATTGTTAAACCTGCATTTCATCCAAGTTTAAGATTTCCTGCTGCCTAGAGGAGCTAGAGTGTGGGTTACGATGATCGACAACAAAAGATGTTTTAGTTTATTTGTTTAATATATGATTCCAAATATATGATAAATATTTTATGAATTATAAATGAACATTTAAAAAGAAAGAACAGTGTTGAACTATTTGAAACATGTTTGTAAATATAAAGTCAAAGAAAAAGCTGTATATTCAAAATAAAGAATATGTACATAGGTTTCCTTATTTGTACAAAAGTACTGCCTGTTTTTATAAAGATAAAGTACAAGTCATTCATCTTACAACTGGAAAAATTAAAATATGTAAAATGTACATAACAGCACGTGTTCAGATTATAAGGCACCGTGGTACTGCAGTTCTTTTATGCGTGCGTATTGGATCGTCTTCTGAAGTGTACGGTAGCTCTTTTAGAAAGCTTAACATCTGAGCTGTTTGAAGGCGGAAATCTTATTTGTTATTCCTCTACATTCAACAGAGTGGGCATTCAGTCCTTCTTCATCAGAGCACATTCTAAACAATTTTTTTTTTGCACCGAGACCCAGAAAACACTGGAAAATGGAGACGACTTTTAAACTCAAAGTTTGTCTTTTAATAAGTCCTTAGAATTTAAAACACAGCAGTTGTGCAGTGCTAAAAGACCCATTTTAGCTCTTAATAAGTGATTTAATAAGTTACAAGTAAAACAATTTGCTTTGTAACAACATCAAATACACTTAATTGTTGCTGCAATGTCGTCTTTCTATTCTGGTCCTCACTGTAGGAATTAAAGTAATTTATTAGAAATTAAATCTGCTTATTCCCTCCTGCTGAGATTTATCAGGATAATTGGTTAAACTCCGCCCTCCTCACACCTTGTAAAGGGTTATCAATATTTCAATCTTAACCCTGGATAGCCTGGGGATACAGCAGTCCCCGCCCCGGGGTATATTCGAGTGCCCTGAGGGTATTTAGCTGAGTCTTTGGGGCGCGTGAAGTGTGCCTAAGGGTAGGATTATGGTTCCTGAGCAAGGGCGTGTTCCGACAGAAGTCAAGTTCAAGTTGACAGTTGATCCATCAGTTTTGAATAAGTAGACAAGACAAGGTAGACACTAATCTGGCTTAACCCACAGTGGGGTATTAGGGGGGGGTGTCATTAATATTAAGTTTACACCATAAACCTCTTATTTAAGACGAATAAGGCTTGGGAAGTGTCTTAATTGTCGTGGTAATATTGCGCTGAAGTCCTAAAATTCGACGGAAAACTGGTAATTTACATGAAAACTTTTAAAATGGGTATTTTATAACAAATTTGATACCAAACAAATACTTGTACGCGCTTGCAGCGCCCCCACATTTTTTATTAATGGTCATTAGAATCTGTTTATATATCAAGATTATTCTAAATCCGTAATTTTATTAAAAAAGCTATAAGCTGGTGACAAAAATCAGCCACCCCCCTCTGACCCCGTAAAATACCCCCCCGTCCCCCCCCCCCCCCCCTCCCCTCCAATTCAAAGCCTTGACAGTGTTGGTATATGCAGTATAGATCATGAAAAGTTAATTAAAACACATTCTTTAAAAACCAGTTTCTAACCCCATTTTTTGAAATGTGACGTTATACCTCATTTTCTTGTACATTTTATGCTGTATTCAAATTTTAAACAGTCTAAAAAAAAAATAAAATTTAATGATTAAGAGCATGAAAACCTTTCAAAAATGTAAGAACGATTAAAAGCAGTTATTTTTGATTGTTTTTAGCCTTCTTTTAAACTGGTTTTCGAATTTGAATTCATCACAAAATATTCTAGAAAATGAGTCAGATGGTCATTTTTTTATTTTGTTTTTGGCCTATTAGAAAAAAAAGGTTCAACTTAGAACCTGCTAAATTTTGACGTAAAGCCTATTCAATATGTTTACTATGGACCTCTGGCGGACGGTTAACAGTAGCTGATTTCCAAAAAAGTACAAAATCGATCACCCTTATAACTGCGGGTGTTCACAGTTAGATACAGGGTCTCCAAATAAACATGCGAGATTATTTCGTAAACATTATTTTGTTTTTCACAGTTAAAACATTTAACACCGAAAACTAACTTGGGATTTCCAAATGTGATCTACCATTTTTTAACCTTCAAAATTGACTGAGATATTAGGAAATTTGTCCAGATTCCAGAAAGCGCATTAATCTTTAAATCTTTTTTTTTGATGCGCTTTATGTCAGTTATCAATTATCGGAAATCAAAGTCGAATTTCATGTCGACTCTCAATTCTCAAGTTTATTGGGACACCCTGTATATACCTTGAGAAAGTTCTGTCCCAGTTTGGCTGTTCTCCGCGTACAGACTCACACCAACCCTCGGAACAGTTATCCCTCTTAAATAAATTGCTTGTAAATTCGACATATTCAATAAGCAATAACAAGTATAAAAGGATTGGGATTGTAATTTCAAGTGACCTTCCTGTCAAAGAGTGGCATGCCTGATTCACAATTGTACTCTTTTACAAGGAAAACCTTTTCTGTTCAATATAATGTGAAAAGTTGTTTTCTGGCATGAAAAGTATTTAATTCTACAAATTATCTCCATTGTCTCTGACACAAATATGCGAAATTTTCACTTTTCAGACACAGGTACTATTGTGAATCAGAAAAAGAGTCCCTTGATTACACATAGGATTTAAATAAATCCAATGCTAAAGCTTACCTTGAATGAGTCCATGAGATCTTTACTGCTCTCACAAACAGATCTGAACTGTCTCAACCAGTCCAAGATCTTCTGCTGCTGCGCCTGGTCACACAGGTTGGAATTCTGTAGAGCGTTTGGAAAACTTTCATAAATCCTCTCACAGTTCTGCCTATTAGAGATCTGAGGCGGGGGGTTTTTGAAGGTCTGAGGTGGGGGAGTTGTGCTTGTTGTGCTTGTAACTACAGGGTTTAGGTTCACTGCATTTTGATTGTCTGGTCCACTGCTAGAGCTAGCTCCGATCCTTAGAGCAACAGACCCAGAGGAAGTAGGATCTTGAAGTTTACCAAGGAAAAGGGGAATATTTTCATTGAAATCATAGACCATGAAGACGAAAGGATGGTCAGCGAAGAATTGACGGTTTCTCTTAGCAGTCCTCAGTCCGATAAGGACAGTTGTGGCAGCAGCAGCCTCAGTTCCCTCCTCGGTAACCTCTATGAAAGCGTCCTGGACAGCGTCAGTGACAGAAAGAGGTTGGTTGCTGATACCAGAGAGGTCGGCCTCCTCGGAGAAAAGATCAGAGACTCCAAGCTTGAGCATCTCTTCCTTGAGGCTGGTTCTGTGACGGATTTTGAACTTTGGAATACTAACAGTGGTGTCCTCGGGATTCAAATCTCTGAACAGTCAGAATTTGATAAAAGATCAAGATTGGGAATGATCAATTTCTTGATTCGATTCCCAAAATGCAAAACCAATTTTTTAAACATTTAAATAAAAAATGTACTTATTTTTACATTGATTAAAGCGTATTCAGAGATATAAAAGATATTTTGACTGAATTTTTCAAATTAAGCAAACAGTCCCTTTAGATTGTTACCTGATGGCGGCGAAGTTTGTATTCTTTATATTATCAAGGATATTTTCAGTAAACACACCAAGCTGCCACAAAATGATTCATTTAACTTTTAATTTTATGATCTTTTTCTCCATTTAAATTAAATTGAATGTTGAAAGCATAAGTAAAAATGCCTTTCGTATTATCATTACACTACACCCCCAGCTAATCAAGGTTTTCAATTAAAAATGACTATTTCAATTATTTTCCCCCTGGTACAGGAGGATATCTAGTTTTGAATGTGTTGAATACTAAATGAATATTCCTTGGGAAGAATGATGAGCAAAGCTTTGCTTTGATCTTGGTACGGGAGCTCAAGCATCTCATAGTCTCCTAGATCCATCACACGAGCCTAACAAAACACAGGTTGAAACTTATGTACTGTTAATCCTTTTAGAATCTATTAATCCTTTTAGAATCTATTAATCCTTTTAGAATCTTTTAATCCTTTTAGAATCTATTAATCCTTTTAGAATCTATTAATCCTTTTAGAATCTATTAATCCTTTTAGAATCTATTAATCCTTTTAGAATCTATTAGTCCATTTAGAAACACATTCAAGTTGCAAAGATACAGGAGTTAGAAAATTAGAGTTTGTGGTAAGAACTTAGATCCTTAGATAACAGAATATTATAGAGATAGTGCCAAGTTTAAGTTGTTGGGAGAATTAGCCGAAAAGCTGTTTTCACATAAAAATGTTTTACAAATTTTTGTTATCACATAAAACATTTTATAAACATTTTTTTCCGCAAAAAAATGTTTCCATATTAAACACCAAATGTTTGCAGCTTTTTATTTCTTTTTAGTCTATTTTGATAGCAATAAAAACCTGAAAAAAGCTCACGAAAATATGCCTTTTTCCACAGTGGTAGGCGATTATATCAATACAATGAAGACGACTTTTTATTTAAGTTTTGATTGTTAACAAGCTTTTTTGGAATTACAAGTTTACAAGTAATCAAAGAGAAGCTTTTTTAATCGACAGCTTCTAATTGTTTCCATGTTTATGTGTATCCAAGCTGTTTGAAAGCTTCATATAAATCTAGATACAAATCAAAAGTCGTCTTCATTTTATTGATAAAATCGCCTACCACCGTATCAAATTTCAAATTTCTGATATGGATTCTCAACAAAACTTAAGGCTTCATGAAGATCAATGTGATAATACGACAAATTCACAAATTTCTAATTTTTTTTAATGTAATTCTGCCATATTTTTACTTGAAGGGTCAATTAATCCCATTAAATTGAAAACTAGGCGTGTTTGTGGACCTACAAATCTAGATTACAAGAATGGGTCTTAATCACTAGCTGATAATTACAATAAAAAAGGAAGCAAGGTAAAATATAATAAAAAAGTTTGAAATATAATGTTTGAACCCCTATTATAGCTTTGGATTAGAATTCAGGGTTTCCTCTTGTTTACCTTGATATTAGTATTAAGAAATGTGGTTTGTATTTCTCCCTGGTTGGAACGAAAAGGAGCATCAAAGTTCTCACCTTCTCCGAAAGCAGTTTTCCACAGAGCTGAACATTTCAAATCATATTGAATATCAAAGACAGGGTGTTCCAAAAAACATGGGAATTGAGAGACGACTCAAAAGTCGTATTTTATTTCTGATATTTAATGCATTGCAAAGAATTAGAAAAATTTTTAAAAATTTTAAAAAAGAGGCTTTAAGTCTACCGAGCTTTTCTTTGAGTGGTCTACCTTTCTTGTATATTAAAAATTGACGAAGATATTATATATTAAAGGGAGTGTTCGCGAAAAATGAAAGGGGGTATAGACTTAATGCGATAAAAAAGCGCAATTGATCGCTACTAATCTTACTTCTATCTGTTGCGTCTATAAGGAGAAAATTGATAAAGACGTCTCATACCGAAGAGCGTCAAACGACAAGGNGATCTGCTCCACCAACTTGAAGCTCTACAACACTTCCATAAAGCGCCATCTAATATCCATCATTAATTCCTTTGTTAATTTCTAAATCAACCAATTTTAACTCCGCTTTAAATGCAATTATTTCAAAACTTTCGTTTTATTAAATAAATGTTAGAAATATCCATTTAGATCTCTTTTATTTTATTAAAGTGACTTTTAAAGTCAAATCAGCTATATAAGTGTTCATCTAAAATATTAAGGGGGATTTCAGTCACGTGAAGGGCTGCGTCTACCTGACAAGATTATTTCCCTGAAAAAAATAATTCCACTCCCTGGTCAAATTCCTGTATACGCCTCTCACTGATTAACTTTACAGTATGACTGAATTTCCATGATAGGCCATTCGTGAAATTAACACAACAAAAAACGTGATGACTATATTTCCAGGGGGGTGGGGTCAGCCCAAGCATGTTAAAAGGCTCCCCCTCTGATAAAATTCCTGATTTCATCATTACCTTTATAGTAGACTGCGTTGACAATGATCAACCTGGTAAGCTGGTCAACCTGGGTTTCTCCAAGTAAATTTAATCCTTTTCATAAATATATATTAAAGTTCTTCAGTTCCAATGTATTTTTATTTATTTTAATGATAATATATTTTACAAAAAGAAAGAGTAAATTAAAAAAATATTGTTTTAAAATTGGTCTAAAAATGTGGTAAGCGATCGCCAATAGCAGTTGTGTCATTTCAGATACTGAATTTATTGATAAAACTCTCTTGGAAACCCAGATTTTCCTGGAAGCTTAGAACTTATACACCAACATTCAAGTGGTTCTACCGAGTTCCCATATCAAAATTGAGGCAAATCGGTCTGAGTAAACAAACAGAGATTTACACTTTATTCATAAATCAGATAAAACAAGGTTCGTATATCAGATAAAACAAGGTTGCAAATTAGTTTTGTTGAAAAACATCATCTTCTGCGTTCAGAGATGTTTGAGAATACATGATTGTTTTGCTTCAAGGGAAATATAGAGTTCAACCTTCATCCTCCCTTATTTTTCATGAACATTCCCGTGAATATTTAAATAAAAATTTACCTTTTCCACGCTCCCCGCTTTATTAGTTGCAAAGTCCAATTCCAGAATTTCAGAACCAAATCTAAAAAATTAATTGTATAATTAAGTTTTTCTTTAATAAATTTACAAAAGTATTATTCATGATAATGTTCCTTTGCCATAAAAAATAGGCAAAATAATCGAAACCGGCCACTTTACACAGATCATAAAAATTATTTCTTTCATAAAAAAGATAAAGTAACTTTTCATATTACTCCTTTCTTTTTCATTTTGTATTAAAATCCAAACCAAGGAAACTATAGACAAAGACTTGTGGGTGCTTCACAACCGGCCCTCTCAATTGTAATTATTTTGGCTTATCATTGTTGTTTTTATCTAATCTGAAACTAAAAACCAAACATCAAACAAAGAAGATTAAATTGAGCTGAAAACTTTAGAATGAGATATTCCTAATCTCGATTACTTAATTTGAGTATCCAATGAACACACTTTTGATTTTCTTCTTAAACCGTTCTTTCTTGGATATAGAAGAAAAAAATCAAAAACCGGTTTTTAAAATTAGAGAATTCCTCCCGTTTCTGTATATAATCTTAAATGGCACGCAAAATTTCAAATTTTGTTTATAAAGAAGACACTTCGAAAAATGCTTCTGCGCAGAACTTAATCTGGTAAATTTGGGCGGCTTAAGTCTTCCTCCCAATGTACATCCTTGAAATCATCTCTGGATTGTTCAGCAGATTGACCCATCCAACATCTCAGAACAAAACCCTTCAGCTTATAACTTAAAATTTCCCTTTTATATTTAACATTATAACTTAGTTTTACAGGATCTTATATTTTGATTTTGGTTTCAACAGTAACTCTGACATTAATACCTAAAATGGCCATCCTAGAGTTTGTTATCGGCTTCATATACACGACTCTGATTAGTTGAATTTTATACACTTTTTAGTATACAAGTACGAGATTAGGTTAGTTTCGATATAAAGAAAAAGAGACGATCAAGCAACAAATATATAGACCAGGAACGCCCAACTCAGATATACACAAATTGTGTACTGTACACTGTGGGAGGAATGTAAACAAATCCAGTGCCCCCACAGCAGTTAAAGAGAAAGGATTAAACACTGATAAACAGAGTGATGTTACAGTCAAAAACAAAAGAAACTAGTTAATATATTAAGTTAGTGCGGATANGCTTTTATTAAAACATCCGAATTTTACCATATAAAGTTTCACAATTTGAATATAATCTTGGATATTATCATTTCCCTCTCCTGTCTTTAAAGCATATACTCTCAAGTAACAAATAGTCTTTCGTTTTATAATCAGTATTCGTGTCTACGATAGCAATATACTTTATTTCAATCCCCCCCCCTCTCATAATTGATGTTTTGCCCCTGAATTCTTTGTTTTGATCGCCTCCCACTGCAGTACACACGTTTGACGCATCAGATATGGCGGTTCCTGGTCTATATATTTCTTGCGATCAAGCATTAATCTCCATCTATCCACCATTCTAAAGTTTTCAGCTCTGTTTGATACAAAATTATTTCCCGCCAAATTGACAAATTTTAGTAACATCTAAAATTAAAAAATTCAGAGCGTAAAATAATGTTTCAACCTCTGCAACAAGGTTGTATAATAAGCCGGGTTAATCTTGACGCGCTCCAATGTACGGAAAATGTCGTTTCCTAAGATAAATAGATACAAACCTCAAATGACGCCATTGAGAAGACGACATTTTCAGTATATTGGAGCTCATCGAGAGTATCCAACCTTATTATACAACCTTACTCTGCACATTCTGTTGCCTACATTAAGTGATGAGACAAAGTTCTGATTAAACCTTTGAATTTGAACAGGATTTCAGATAATATTATTTCAATTAATTTTCAATTTCGTACCTTGATTGAATTTGCTGGGAATATTCTGGCTTAGGCTTGAATCCTGCAGCTATGGCCATTAGGTTTCCGACCTAGAAAACAGGCAACTTTAGTTTACACATTATGGAAAGGTTGAATTTGTCCAAAAGTATTGGTACGACGTTCTGGTCTCATAGCTCCTCTAGTTTTGAATTTACGCCCAAGCAAATTTATTTTCTTTTATATTGGGAATTCAAAACTATTCTATTCAAAATAAATATAATTACCAATAAAATAAAACTGAACTAAAAACAAAAACAAAAACGTGCTAAAACAAAAATTGTGCTAAACCAAAAAACGTGCTTACACAAAAACGTGCTAAAAACACAAAAAGTGCAAAAACAAAAACGTGCAAAAAAACGTGCTAAAACACTAAACCAAAAAACGTGCTTACACAAAAACGTGCTAAAAACACAAAAAGTGCAAAAACAAAAACGTGCAAAAAAAACGTGCTAAAACAAAAAACGTGCTAAAACAAAAAACGTGCAAAAACAAAAAAGTACTAAAAAAACGTACTAAAACAAAAAACGTGCTAATATAAAAAACGCGCTGAAACGAAAAACGTGCTAAAACAAAAATGTGCTAAAACACAAATGTGCTTAACCAAATATTACTTATACAGAATGAAGTCTGAAATAATACAAAAACCATAATCAATATTTTACCTTTAAAGTAGACTGCCCCTGCTTGAGAGAAGATTGTAATCTTTGATAATTAATCGTTTCTTCTGAACTAATTCCTGAATAATCAAAAATATATTTTCGTATACCTTACGTTTAATCCTATTCAATCCTTCATCCTATTCTATCCTTCTCAGCCTACTCAATCCTTTTCATCCTATTCTATCCTTCTCATTCTGCTCAATCCTTCTCATCCTACTCGATCCTTCTCAGCTTACTCAATCCTTCTCATCCTATTCAATCCTTCCCATCCTACTCAATCCTTCTCATCCTACTTAATCCTTCTCATCCTACTCAATCCTTCTCATTCTATTCAATCCTCCTCATCCAGCTCAATCCTTCTCATCCTACTCAATCCTTCTCTTTCTATCCAATCCTTCTCATCCTACTCAATCCTTCTCAATCCTTCTCATGCTATTCAATCCTTCTCATCCTTCTCAATCCTTCTGATCCTACTCAATTCTTCTCATCCTGCTCGATCCTTCTCATCCTACTCAATACTTATCATCCTACTCAATCCTTCTCATCCTACTAAATCCTTCTCATCCTATTCAATCCTTCTCAATCCTTCTTATCCTACTCAATCCTTCTCATCCTACTCAATCCTTCTCATCCTTCTCAATCTTTCTCATCCTGCTTAATCCTTCTCACCCTTATACTATATCAATCATACTCATCGTGAAAACTCAAAACTACTTATTTCTCCTCTTCCTTCTAACTCTGGTCCAGTCTATAAGTATACCTAGAGCATTCTCTAGCTGTGTCCTTGTACTATCTGAGCTCCCCAGGAGAACCTGGCTGAAGGCGGAGTGTGCAGAAAATGGACTCCAGACAAAATTCTTCTTTGAGCCCTTTTCTAAAAATAGGAGTTGAATCATTTCAAGTAATTTACAGAGCGTCCCATATCATATTAGATTATCTCCAAGTTTTAACGCCAAAATAAACCCATAATACTTGAAAAGCCTAGCATTTTCCGCAAGAAAATCTTTTGTTAGCCTTATTCAATTTTTCAAATGATTCATTCTTTTAAAATTATCTGATTAGTCTTGAAGACCGATTAACGATCTAATATGATGTGGGACACCCTGTAGTAGAAGTATGAAAAGTCAGAAGACGACTTGTACGTTTTAATCTTTTGATTTAACCCTTGCTAAAATGTATATCATAATGATTCTACAGGGTGTCCAATAATCATGGGAATTTGATATCGTCTTTTTAAATAATTCTTTGATTTAGTATAGTGAAACCTACAGAGAAAGCTGTAAACTGTAAGAGTTTCGTCTGCTATGTTCACTTAATGTTTGTTTATGTTTTGACTGCATAAGGGTGTACTTAGTAAAACAAGAAAATTGCAGTATACAATAGAGTAAACTTGTCCGCCTTCACTGTTTATCTTGCGGAGACATTATAGACACATATTTACAGTCTTTTACCCTTTTCATAAAATAACCTCTAGCAGACATAATAATATTATGGCTTTTGAAATTAGGTATTACAATACTAATTCATAACAAAGACGATCTCGAATTCGTCATTAAATTCCCATGTTTATTGGGACACCCTGTAATATATTGAAAAAAGAATTATTTTTGAGGTTGGGGGAAGGTGATCGCTCATTAAAATTTAAAACCACTGCAAAAATATCATAAATTTAAGTTTTGCTTTTTGAAGACTTCTAAACTTTAAGAATGAATCTCATAACAAAATTGCACTTTTATATTTAATCCAGATTTTCTTCCATAAAGTTTTTTAGTTTTCTAATATTAATGCTTGTTTGATGCATAAAATTTTACTTAAGTCATAGTTAAACATGCAAAGGGTTAAGGGGGGGGGTATAAAGGAGGAACGTCCCCCTCCCTGGAAAAATTGGGGGCACAGCAGGCACCTTTTAACCCTTTAATTTTGATTTTCGACAAAATAGATAAACATTTCCCTTTGGCGCCATTTAATCACTCAAAATCAATATTTCTTTTATATAAATATAAAAATCCAAATTTTGGCATTTTCCGATCCCTTCTCCCTTCTCCAGTTTTTCATGGTTTTGACATAAAAATATCCAAATTCCCAGTTTCAAATTCCAAGTTTAACCAGATAATTTCGAACGCAATTTGTTCCGGTAGGGGTAGGGGGTAAAACTTATAAATGAAAGGGTTACCTAAATTAGCGGATAAAGCTAAGGATAGCTTTGCTACCCCCTGGGAGAGAGACTGTGAGCTTGAAGACGGAATCAAACCCAAACCAGATATTATTAATAGCAACAACATTTTAATCATGTATTTTATCTGGAAAATTCATAAATTTAAAAAACCCGGAGTTTTTACATTCGTTTAAAGATTTCCATGATCTCGGATTCATCGCGAACCCCTTTAAAACTGATAAGTAATCGCTTTAAAACTGATAAATAATCGCTTTAAAACTGATAAGTAATCGCTTTAAAACTGATAAATAATCGCTTTCCAATTGCTAAATTAACTTCATTGTTTCTGCAGCATGAATCAGCAAGTCCCTTTTAAAAAGAAACCATAAATTTAAAATCATCAATTTTCAGCTTGGAATCAAACTTTAACTATATCTACTTTATCCGGCCAAGGTTTGTAGGGTGCCGTTGTGAATCGGACATAAACGGTCTCTTTAATGGAGGAATGTCACTCAAAATCACATCCACAGCCCTTAAAATACTTCAAAGTGCAAGAATAAATTCTCAAACAATTAATAAATATATCTTTATTGAGACATATTAAATAAAATAGTAGAAAAGTTTTTACCGAAATTACAACATGTACAGGATGTACAGCAGTCTGCAACAGAAGATGTATTGTTTAACCTTATTGACAGAGTACAAATATAGGGTGTCCCAATAAACATGAGGAAAATCCGCGAATCTTTTTTTCTCTCAAAATCAAAAGTTCAGAAAAGCAAAAATGTGTATTCATATTATTTCTCTCTAAATCTAAAATATTATTAAGATTGAATCACAGAATCACAGAAAATTGATAAAATTGTAATAAGAAAATTCGCAATTTTCATTTCTGGTCTAATTTTTACGGAAAAGTTATTTAAATTCTCTAGTTCCTTTCTTTTTATTATATTCTAAAGTATTAAATATACGCTGTTCAGTTGAAACCTTAAGAACTGCATAGAAAAAAAAATTTTCCGTAAAAATTATACCAGAACTGAAAATTGCGAATTTTCTTATTACAATTTTGCCAATTTTCTGAAATTCTGTGATTCAATCTTTTAAAAATTTTAGATTTCGATAGAAACAATTTATTTACACATTTTTGCTTTTCTAAACTTTTGATTTTGAGAGAAAAAAAGTTCGCGGATTTTTTTTTGGGGCCTTTGAGTTCCCAAAAAAAATTACAAACTTTCAAAAAATATTTAAAAAATGCCCTGCAGGAGAGTTGTACAAAAAAGGTACACTTTTGAACCAGGCGCGGCAAATCACATTTTTTTTTGACTCACCCTTTATAAAACGTTTCCATGATGTATGATTACTGAGTTTGAGCGCAAAGTCGACGTTCAAAATCATCAATTTGAGTTGAGAACTGATTAAAAAAAATTATTAAATAAAGACAATGCTAGAATTAATTATTTCGTTTTCATCATCATGTTTAATTTCTCATTCTTCACGAATTTATTCGCAGATATCTACAAATTTTTCAAATGTCGCCTTTTCATTTAAATTTAAGAAAATCTACAGAAAATATTTGTGAAGAATGAGAGATTACATAAACTAATAACTGAATAAGATTACTTTTTTTTTGATGATAAGAGTTAATTTTCATTTTTTCAACCTGTTACTAAACGTATAATTAGTTAACTGTAGAATTTTTGTTACATTTTTGTAACAAATTGATGAGTTTTAATGTCTCAAATGATTCATAACATTTTTTTCACAATACTACATTCTTAGTTTAACTACCATACTTTGCCGGTCACTCCCTTTAATACTTCTTATTCTACTCAATCCTTCTCATCCTTCTCAGTATAATTTTAAGTCCCTGATCAACTTATAACCAGCTAGATCAAGCTGTACAGTTCAGTTACAGACCAAGGATGTAATGCAAGGAAAGTTATTTCAGAAGTGTACGCATCTTTTGTACTGCAGTGTACTGTCTCTGGGCGGTAAAGTAAACACAAGACGGATGTCGAACAGTCGAAGCCTGACATGGGATCCATCTTTCACATAAAAAAATCAATAAAATAATCTGGTCATAGGAAACTATTATGTGAATTATCAAAATTTTCAAAAGTCAATGCTTTTATCCTCCTCGGACACCAACTGATGCATCTATTGTTGTTTACAAATTCCGCCCAGAGAGAACTGGTTTTAATATGTACGCAGAGTATACGCGCCAGCAATTAACTTTCCCTGCATTACAACCTTGTTACAGACTATGCGAGACAACCGGAACGGTACGCCAAATGAATGATATTCATGTGCTTCATTCCCATGTTTATTAAGCATTTGTGTATTTTTTTATGCCTTTTTCTATCGTATTCATTAACTAAACAAAAAAGTGATCATGTTTTCTGAATCACTCTGTATATCGTGTTTTGTTCCTTATTCAAAGGTTGATTTAAAACTGGTGGATAAATTGCATTCAAAATTTATTCAGTATTACGCATTTATTGCTGTTCAATATTAAAAATAGGGGGAAGGGGGGCGGGTAATCCAGTGGGGGGGGGTACTGATAACGGAGTTGAACTATAAAGTGGTTGTTGTACTTGGCAACGGACGATTGAATTTGTTTAAAACTAAGTTGAATAAAACTTGATAATCCAAAATCTTTTTATAAAATAATTACAAAATTTTATCTCTGTTAATCTCATAGTTATTATTATTATCTGAAATATTATTCACTTTATCCCTCACAAACGTCAAAAGTCAGACCACGTAAACCTGAATTGTAAAGCTGTAAGTACCAAGAGGCCATTTGATATATCTTACATTTTACGTTGCTGTTTTAAAATAAGAATGACAAAATATTGTATCATAAGAAAATGCACAAACAATTCTTCTTGTAAAAATGTGACTTTTTCAAATTTTCAAAACACTCCACCGTACATCCCTTGAGTTATATTTTCTAAATTACATGAAATCCCCCCCTAGATATACAATCACTCTATATACAAGTGTACAGTGTTAGATACGTCAACATATTGTGATGTACACAACCAACCACCCTAATAATTAATTAATAGAGTGGTCGGTTGTGTACATCTAAGCTCTTCGTTTCCTTTCTCTATGGCTTCAATTCTCTTGTCAATTGGAAATGCTTTTTAAGATCTCACCAAATAGATTCAGTACAATAGATGGGAACGTAGAATGTGAACACTCTCAGTATACAGCTGTATTCTTACGTCACAAGTGTTAACTAAGTTTTTGTGTCATAAGTTATGAATAATAGTGATAATTTTAGATATAAGTACTTATCTTACAGTGAAATATGTGCAATTTTAGATATAAGTACTTATCTTACAGTGAAATATGTGCAATTTTAAATGTTCTTTAGTTGCCGTTTTTATACTTTCTTATTTAATCTTGGAAAACATGTCAACTAATGTGAGAAAACTTCGTTTTCCTTGTTATATTTGATACTTTTCACGTCTTTTCAACGTTTACTTCACAAATGTTAGAATGCCATGAATTATTTCAAAGCTATTTTCACTTGTCTATTGTCTAACAGGGTTTCCACAAAGGATTAGACTTTAATGCCGATCTGAGATGGAATGTAAAGAATTTGAGCCGCGGTTTAAATCCGCCAAAACCCGGTTTAAATTAAGCGCCAGCTTAAATCTTAAAACATTTAATACAATTTTAAGTGGAACCAACCATATTTAAACACCATATTTAAACAGCGGCTTAAATTTAAACCGCCGCTCAAAATCTTTAAATTCGGCCACTGGAACTCATTAAAAATTGAATCTTAATTTTCGCTCTGGAATATAAGTCTTTCAATGGTTACTCTTATCGATTTGGGCCAGAAAAAAACCAGTTCACAACTGCAGGAACCATCAAGGTGATAAAATGATTGAATAATTTCCGTACAGTTGTCTCTATAGTCGTGGATAGCCCTCTAGCTGTCATATTAACACTACACTACTACTGCAGCTTTCAAACTCAAGTTTTCAAGATGAAGTGATTTCAACAGAATCTAAAGGGGGGCAGGAGAGGGGGGAAGATTCTATGATTTTTTATTTGGTTGTAAGGTGGTTCCCCCTTGTTATTAGAGTGTATACTGGTCGGGTTCTGTATACCTGGAGATTACACTATACAACCCTGTATACCAGTTCTGAACCTGGTTCGTAACATTACTCAGGATTTCCAACCTGCACATTCCACAAACACACATCAATACGAGCACAAACATGCATCAACACAAACAATAATTTAGCAAAGGAAACATGTATCATACAACACATAACAACACCACAGACAATATCAATAGTTTGTTAACACTTTTCTTATTATTATTATTATCATTATCATAATCATAATCATTATCATTATCATTTTCATTTTCATTATCATTTTCATTATCATTATCATTTTCATTATCATTTTCGTTATCATTTTCATTTTCATTATCATTATCATTCGTATATAGTTATTTTTTCATAATATTCATTTTGTAGACAATGCACTCTATTATGATTATGATTGATTATGATTATTATAATCATTATTATTATTATTATTAATTATTATTATTATTATTATATTAAAAGTTTTAAATAAAGTGAGTTAGTTTACATTTTTGTTTATTTAATTTAATCTCTGAAAGTTTAATCTGTTTCTAACAGAAGGATAATCTGTAGATTTAAATTAGTTTTTCATTCTTTTCGAATAAATGTTTAAACATATTCTAAAACAATTATTAAACAAGAACATCGGGTTTTCAAAAATATCAACACGAAATTTAAATTGGTCATTTTCAGCATAATTTTTAAACATTTAAACATAATTTTTTTAATTTGACATCATTCTCATCTGTGTTGATCTGATAAAGGGGTAATTGGTACCGACTAGTGAATCCTGTCTTTATCAAACAATTTTTAAGTCATATTTTAATATCTCTTCAAGTAAATTTAAAATAGCGCTTAAGAAAGAGAATTCTCTGTTCTGTGCATATATACCAAAAAAATTAAAATATACACAGCCCAACAGACAAGTATTAAAAAGAAAATATGAAAAATCTACATTAAATGAATGAAAATTGGGGTTGAAAGTTTAGGCTTACTAGACTTTAAACCAGTTGCCGAATTTAAAGAATTTGAGCGGCGGTTTAAATTTAAGC